AAACAGTGGACGTATGCCATGACGCGTTGCAAATACGTCCACTTCGAGAATCGGTCGATATCCACAATACATTCGGGAGCATGTATCTCCCGATGAACGTAACAATCTCGTAGCTCTTCTTCTCCTGATTTTTCCGGATCACCTTTCTTCCAATCTCGCTCAGGTAAGTATAGAAATTCAGCTCCGCTGTACCAGATTTTTAGAAAATAAGTCATGATAATAATTCACTCCGGATACATGCAATTGTCTATCTTGAGAAGACTTGAACATTAATTTTACATTCTGATGGTAAACTCATACACGTACCACTAGTACCTGCCAGAATTCATTGCTTAGGAGATTGCTCGCAAAACCAATTTTTAATGCACGATGTTTCTCTTTAAAAATAGAATAAGCTTCTCGCAAATTACAGAGCACCAGTCTTCGTTGCACAAAAACTTTATTTCCTTCATCAGTCGTTTGAGCATAATCCCTTTTTCCGGGACATGCTCGACTTATTTCGTCGCTATTGAAAAAATCCTGAACTCTTGCAAGTGCTTTGCCCGGTCTGCCATGAATCGATTAACTGCGAATTCCTTTACAATTTTGGAAGCAGACCAGCTTTTGGGTAAAGTTGGAAGGATCCTATATTTTTTGTTACTATCAAATTTCTTTATTTTTACTATATTTACTTCTCAAATTTTTCCTTTACCCTTTCCATGCCTACGTCTAAATTTGCATAGATTTCAAAATTTAATTAGCTCTAAAAACATAATTTCTCAGTTATAAAACAGCAAAAAAGGTTATCTTCATTTTAATTCCACTTAACTAATGTTGGTATTCATGGAAAATACGTATTTCGACTACAATGTGCAGTCTTTATCAGTGTCATTCCCACTAAAGACTTATCAAAAACCTAACCCCCTTAAGTACTCATCCCCTAGGTAAAAAGTCAAGATCACAGGTATAAAAATTAATCTACAATGTGTAGAATCGGAACTTACCTAACTAATAATAACCAAAGATTTAAGTAAAATAAAGGAGAAAAAACTATTCAAATCTCTAATAACGAAAAATTTCCAAAGGCTTGGTAGCCATCATAATGAAGTTTAATATATCACACGATGAGTTTTGGTTCTGGTCGAAAATTGGCTACTTCTCCGGGGCACCGGAACATGCCCGAGGGAGCTAGTATGACCGTTGACTGCCAATAAGACCATTACCATTCGAGTTTTTTTAAATGATGAACTCTCGCGTAACATTTGAAAAGGGCCTATGTCCAAAATGTAAACAATCCAGAAAATGAATTGTAAATTTTTCCGCCAGTATTTAATTCCTATATAAATAGATTGAAGTATTTTAGGCATTTATATTGTTCACAATAACAATAGTAACTATATCTCAGTACACAACATCCAAAACATGCGAAACATTTTCAAAAATACATGAAAATCGATAAAAATTTAATATCACAGTAATAAGCCTTTTTGTGAATCTTTAAATGGTTAGGCCCTTTTTGTTAAGCCGTTGTGCTTGTCATCATAAATTGTAGGCCCTTTGCTAAGCCTTTTCTTAACGTCAAATAAATCATCGGCCCTGCCTCAAGCAGTAGGGCTTAGCTTTGATTTGAAATTTTTCAATCATCGGCCCTTCTACGTCGCTAGGCTTATGAATGGAACCTCATCGAACGAAAAAAAATATATGTTAGGCCCGAGGTTAGGCCGTTTTAGCATGAATGATTGGAAAAATTTGGTGGATCGGCCGTTTTTAAAATCAAGTTATTTTTAATGATTTTTATCGATAATGCGGAACATTCCTATACGACTGGTAGCTAATTACCAGTGCTACAGAATGGTATCAAAAATCGGTTTGTTTACATTTTGGACATAGGCCCTTTTCAAATGTTACGCGAGAACTATGATGTGATAATTCTTATTAAAAATTATCCACTACCCTGAGGGTACTGCCAATGTGAAAATGTCATTTTATCAAATCCATTAGCTGCCGAGTTAAGGAAAACCATGAAGTTTGATATGTCGTACGATGGGTTTTGGATCTTGTCGAGAATTGGCCACTTCCCCGGGAGCACCGAAACATGCCCGGAAGGGCTAGTGTGACCGTGGACTCTCAATAAAACCATTACCGGCCAAGATTTGTCAAATAAGGGTACTGCCAAAGTGAACATGTCATCTCAATAAATCCATTACCCGCCGAGTTAAGAAAAACCATGAAGTTTGATATGTCGCACGATAAGTTTTGGACAGGACATGCCCAGGAGGGCTAGTATGACCGTGGACTCTCAAGAAGGCCATTACCGGCCAGTATTTGAAATTTTTTGAAGTTTTATATGTCACACGATGGGTTTTGGTTCTTGTCGAGAATTGGCCACTTCCCCGGGGGCACCGGAACATGTCCGGGAGGGCTAAAGTGACCATGTACTCTCAATAACGCCATAACCTGCCAAGATTTGTCAAATCGTTAAGTTTGATATGTCGCACGATGGGTTCCTTCACCGTTCCAAACAACATACAGCTCGCCAGCCTCATCTGTGTTGAACACCTTAATAGCTTAGTATTACTCATCACCATACATTTGATAAACAGTATTTCCTGGACACTTCTCGGGTTACCTTTTAAATAGACCAATCTACATTAATCGATTCTCTTCATCGACTTTCTCTTTCGTTAATAACTCGGCTCCAAAAACATGTTCAGCTGTTATTATCTAATAGACTATGTCGAAAAATTAGCCCGATATATGAATGCAGCCAAGTTATCAACGAAAGAGAGAGTCGATGAAGAGAATCGATCAATGTAGATTGGTCTATCTGACTTGTCAAGGTCATCAGTCGGTTGTCAGTTCCCTTAAATATAAATTTAACAAACCAGGTTTTTTAAAGGCAACAATATGGGGGGGGGGGGGGAATTTCAGAAACCAAAGTCGCTGGCGGTTTGAAAGTGGTCTGATTTTGATCCAGAGATGATGGTTTTCAATTTTCAAAAGGTCACTGTTAAAAATTGTACTTTTGCTATTTTAATTAAAATTATCATCGATTGCCTTTTTGATGTAATAAAATTCTTCCCGAATTTTCTTAATAAGAGGAGCTTAAGGTGATACTCTAAGGAAGTTTTGTGAAAGCTGACATTTGTGCCTTTAAAGTTTCACGCTAAGGCTTCCTTAGAGTATCACCTTAAAATTTGCTTCAAAGCAAGATTTCCACAGCATTGTTCTAAGCTGGATTCCAAGCTTTCAATCCATCGGTCCTTTTCAGTACCACAAATGACTGATAAAAGGGCTAACTAAAGACTTCAAATAAGAGCTTGTATCCGAGAGATATCGCCCAGGATTGGCTACATGGACACCGACTGAGCATCTTAAAAACAGAACTCCCAAACTGCTTCTGAATTTCAACCTATCGAACTTTTTCACTGATAACGAGTTAAGAAATCAATTTAATATTTACTATACTTTTGCTGTGACATCAAAACTACCTTTCGTAATCCTACGTCAAATCTACAGTCGTGTCTTGGATACAACCTTTTACTTTTTTACCCACCCTAACTCATAAAGGTGCACCCTAATGGCGAAATAAAAAAAAAATAATACGAAATCATCATGCGATGAGAATACATAATAATAAGGGCAGGTTTTGTATTTAACTGAGGGGGGTTGCCATCAAAATGGAATTCTATTTTTTTAAACTTGAATCACGATAACAGGTGAGAAGCTGCTGAAGGTCAAATGTCAAAATTGAACTTTATACCATTTCCAATAAGCCATTTTGAAGTTTTTTTTTGCGAAATTGAAAGTGGACGAATTTTAGCTCAAATTTAAATGTCTGACTACTTGTGCAAAGTTCGATCAGATCGATTCGTCATTAGGCTGCTCCATAATGTCTAAAAGATCGGAGTAAGTTATGGCAAATATGTGCTACACAGGTGTCAATCATTTAAAATAGGATGTAAGCAACAGTGGAAGTGCTCAAAGAACACTAAGTTGGGAGCCGGTCTCAGGACCCAGCAAAATCCAACCCAAGAAGATGTTGATGATCTCCTGTTGTCCTCCTTTTCAACTCATCCAGCACCTATTATCCCAAGTGATGACACCTGCTGCACCGGTTTGTGTCAACATCATGAAATTAAGTAGATCAGATCACCAGACTACGCTCTAGGTGGAACCCCACCGCGGACGGCAGATCGGCAGACGCGCCGTGGACATTCCGACCTATATTCCGTCGTCGTCGGACGTTTCACTCTATAAAAAGATTGAAAATAAAACTTTCGTTTCCCGTGCCTCATTTTCACTCTCTTACGACCCGGTACGGCCGGTCGGTGGTGGGGCACCACCAGGAGGGAGTCTCTGGGCGAAGAGGGGTGCGTCACGGCAGGTAGATCCGCGCTAGTTTCGCGCTGGCTACCCGTTTGCTGCTGCTGCTGCTGTTGATGATGATGAGTCGAAGCCAGTCAGCCAATTGTGCGTTTTCGTAACTCTCACTCTCTTGGGAAAGAGAATTACGTCTGGTCTGGGGCTGGCGTTGGTTGGGGGCCTACGTTCGGAGGTAGGTTTCGCGTGCCCGTCTTCACACACCACGCGGGCTGCAGATCGCGGCTTCGCGGAGGCTTCGTAACAAGTCCCAATTTTTTAATGACTCTTTGGTGCGATCGCGCTCTGTTTATTTAATGGGAGTTGGAAATGTTACGAATATACGCGCGCGCACTCGGTGCACACACCACGCCACCAGGTGAGCGCGAAATTGAACCAGGTTGATCAATCTGGTTTCTTTGCGTTTTGGTTTTAGCGTTTTTGAGTCCGGCCGGAAAGGGTCGTTTTTCTTTCTTTGCATCGGTAGACACACTTTCCTCTAACCCCCTTTTTTCGCGAGGTTGCTCCTGGGCGAACGGTGAGCTAAGCAGCTACATCCTGTTCTACTGATCCGATGAACCTGTTACCTGAACCGCAAGCCAGCGGATGATTGAACCCATAACTAATGAACTTTCTTTCTTCGTTTCGTCCCATTGCAGATCTCAACCTGAATGCCGCAGCAGTCGTCATTTGAGTCTATCGGCGGACCCATAAAGCTTTCAACATCCTCGCCCGGAGTATAATGTCCACTGGTGAGCCGGACTCAGCTGGTTCCCATGGACTAGGACTTGCGGCTACACTAGGCGGGGGCTCCTCGACCACCTCATCAACCACCGGCCCGTCACTCTCCGTTATGGAGCCCCCAGCGAACATCATCATGAAAGCCAAGGAAGAGCCGGACTGTGATATGGAACGTAATATAGACTCCAGCATGGATAGTAGTGCCCTGGCCAATTGCCTCTCGACGACGATCTCGGCCCTACGAGCTAGTCACAATGCCAGTCTCATCGCAAACCGCGACAACAGCGTCGACGATAACCTCTCGGATAATTCGGAATCAACGACTACCAGCTCGGCAGCCGCCCAGCTCCTAGAAAGCCTCAAGAACAACCTCAACAACAACAACAACTCCAGTGCAATTAACAACAACAACCTGCTACACAACAACAACAATAATAATAATAACAACAACAACAACAATGGCAACCGAAAACTGTTCGAGTGCGATGTGTGCAATATGAAATTCTCCAACGGTGCGAACATGCGCCGGCACAAGATGCGCCACACCGGTGTCAAACCGTACGAATGTCGTGTATGTCAGAAGCGATTCTTCCGCAAGGACCACTTGGCGGAGCACTTTACCACGCACACCAAAACACTGCCCTACCATTGCCCGATCTGCAACCGAGGTTTCCAAAGACAGATAGCGATGCGTGCACATTTCCAGAACGAACACGTTGGTCAGCACGACCTGGTCAAAACCTGCCCTCTCTGCAGCTACCGAGCGGGAACGATGAAGTCCCTTCGGGTGCACTTCTTCAACCGGCACGGAATCGATCTGGACAACCCTGGCCCGGGAACTCCGTCATCCCTGTTGCTGGCACTGGATCAGCACAATCCGGCCAATCTCTTACCGGCCCTGGCCGCCATGAATGCCGTCAACGCGTTCAGCGACTCCGGCGATTCGATGCGTTCGGCAGACAATGCAACACCACCGATGCACTTCCTCACTCCGCACGTGGAAATCTCGATGGCGGATAACAACGAAGTGGCCCTGAATTGCAGTCGGGATGCCCTGAATGGTACCAATTCGCACGAACCCAGCAGTGCGGGGTCCAACCATGGCAGCGGAAATGGTGGCAACAACGACCGAAGAACTCCGACTCCATCGATTTCCTCCGGACTGGACATCAAGGCCATCGTGCGGCCCTCGTCACCGCACTCGGCCGATTCCAATGCACCCTCCAGTTCCCACTCGTCCTCCATGCTTCCATCTCTAGTACAAAGCTCAAGGCATATTATTTTTGATAACTCTATTACACCGTCAATCAGCCTAATTCCCATCAAGCAGGTTCGTACCGGGTTTCTGTTTGGGGCCGTAAAATCACCGGGAGTAAAACTGGAATTCTACTCATTTTAGGAACCAACGACAAACGATGAGTACAATGAAACCAAACCACGAAGTAACAGCACTTCGGAAAATCCGACCTCCAATATCAGCAACTCGAGCGACAGCGTGACACCGTCCTCCAGTCTCACTTCGCTGATCAAGGTAAGTATTGAATTGTTGGGTATATCAAAGTTTCAAAAGGAGGTTGTCGAAACGAATGCTTATTTTGTAGCTTCAAAGGGTCCCCCCCATAATGGTTCAGTAATAATTACGGGATTCTTTATTTTTTCAAAAAAAATCTGATCTACGAGATTACTTTGTTGTTTATCAAAAGAATCCAAAAATAAGACGTATGATCCATAAAACTACTCAGTAATAAGAACTAGGCCGATAAGCAACCCGATTTAAATTTTGGAATATTTTTCGGAAAGTTTTTTTAGGGTTCGGGATGTAAACTATTAAGCAAATAAATCCTTTTTCTGCAAACCCAATTTGAATGACATAAAAAGTTAGCGGCGTCGGTGGTGTAGTGGTAAGCGTGATCACCTCTCACCCCAGCAGGCCTGGGTTCAATCCTAGTCGGCGCCGCAGGGATGTTCTGAGGCATAACATCTCTGATCACGTCTTCCTTCGGAAGGGAAGTAAAGCCGTTGGTCCCCGGTTCATGGTGGGTCGATAGGTAGGGTCCAGGTGTGAGAGCTGCCTCTATGGAAATCAAGGAAAAAAAAACATTGACACGTCAGACAAATTTTCATGTAATATACAAAATGTAATTGATGAAAATAATTCGACTTTTATTTTTGTAATAAGTGCTATATTCGCGCCCCTCGGTTGTAATTGAATGAATGTTGCTGACCTTTTTCAACGTCCATCTATAGCGATAAGCAATATTTTGCGGGTCGCCATGGATGGAAAGGTCATATTTTTAATATGATATATTTGACTGAACCCTATACCGGTGACTCAGAGGGTGATGAGTCGATATTAAATCCATGTTCCAGAAATGTTTACATGTGTTAATGGTAAGTTTTGCAATTGCGTATAGTGCCAATTGCTAACGAAATGATAAGTTGATGATAAGCGCGTATGTTGACAATTACATTTTGTCTACAGGCCAATTGTTTGTTGAAATATTAATATTTGATAGCTAATTATTAAATCCAGAATAGTGTTCCCTACTAAGAGAAATAAATACTAAAACAAATAGGATTATGTAATGTAAAATCAAACAACCAGAGCGTCGGCGCCGGTGGTGTAGTGGTAAGCGTGACTACTCTCTTACCCCAGTGTGTCTGAGTTCAATCCCAGTCGAGGTCGTTGGAATTTTTCTAAGCCGAAAAAATTTCTGATCACTTCATCCTTCGGAAGGAAAGTAAGGCCGCTAGTTCCGGCTCATGTGTTGATGGGTGCGATATCTACCCATGATGATATCTACTGTCGATGATTGGCACTCGGCATTGCGGAACAGAGCCCAACGTTAAATAAAGGATTCAAGAAGAAAAATGACCAGAGTTAATTGAAATTAATTTCAAAACCTAGGACGAATTTAAATCGATTTATCAACCTGAACTCCCTGTAACCGGAGTGCATCATTACAGGGTGTCTATTACCTGGAAAAACCTGGAAAACCGGGAATTTACAGGGAATTTTATTTTTTCTGGAAAAACCTGGAATATTCAGGGAACTTTGGTTCCACTCAGGGAATTTTCCAATTATCACTTCATTCGTAATTCAAAAGAAGTTTTTCGTTCAGTTTCTCGAAACGTTTCTTAAGGACACTGAACTTGACAAGCATCTAAGACAACGTGTGCGAACGAGACAAGTTCATTCAGAGAGTCTTGTCATGCTCGCTCTTCGCTGATTTTTATGTGGAGGATCAAAATCGTCGTAAAAAGGAAACAGCCGAAAAAGAGAGACTGGCAACCGTCAAAAGGAAGCATACGAAGCATGTATTGTATAAGAATAAGCATGTTAGACAGCAGGTCTGACAGCCTACATAGAATTTTTTTGAGTTTCAGAGAGGGTCGGAGATCTACTGAGAAATTTTGTTGAGCTTCAGGGTAGTTCGTAGATCTTGAGAACAGAACTACAAACAAATTAAAAGTAATAAACAGACATTCATAAAAACAAAATCACAAGAGAGGTCGTAGATCTTCAGATAAATGGTCAAAGAAATATTCAAAACTTCAAGCAAGCAAAAATAATTTCAAATCAATTTGTAATTATAGTGGAATTTCAGGGAAATTCGCATAACTTCAGACAAGTCCAAGAATCTACAGTGAAATATAAAGTATTTCACAGAAGTTTGGAGATCCTCGAAACATTATTCAACATCAGAAAAGTTCGTAGATCTTCAGAACAAAGCTACAGAACTTTGAAAAAAATTACAGGACTTCTGAAAAAATCACAAGAATCTCAGAAATGTTAATGGATCTTCAGTAAAAATTGCAGAACTTCAGGGAAGTTCGGCGATTAAAAAAAATATTTACACGATTTCAGGAAAATTTGTAGATCTTGTGAGAGACATTTAAAACTTCAAAGAAGCTTAAATATTTTCAGATAAATTTTGACAACTTTAGGTAATCTTAAAGGAAATTTTCAAATCTTCAGTGTAACCCGAGAGGAATTTACAAAACATCAGAGAAGTTTGCAGATCTACTGAGAAATTTATTGAGCCACAAGTTTTTTTTTTGTAGATCTTGGGAATAGACCTTAAGAGAAGTCCATAGACCTTAAGAAAAGTCTGTAGAACGTTTAAATTTTACCGGAGAACAGAAACAAAACTTCAGGGACCTCAGAAGGTTTGAAGACCTTGCAGAATTGAGTTGTTAACAGAAATTTTCAGAACTCAAGGAATCATGTATATCTAGTGAGAACTTTTCCCACTAGCTTGTCTAAAGTTGGTATCGACATCCTGGCGTTTTGAGTTTTGAAATCCATTTTCATCTTCATATCGCAGCTCTGATGGACAAGATGAGCCAGATCCCTGCCGGTGTTCCTCCTGAGCAACCATTTCCTACTCCACAAAGTTCACCTTCTCTTTCTCATTTTATTTAAAATAATAAAAGCAAATACGTCTGCTGAAACTAGAGCAATTTTCCGGTAATTCATGATGGAAGTATTTACTTTTGATTCCTGATACAGTTTTGTTTTGAAATCTAAATTGACAATTCTTTCGACATGTGCAAGCAGTGTAAACACCAGCAAACAGGGGGGTTCGACAAAGTGTGTAGAAAGTAAATTTGAGCAGATTTTTCATTATGGCGGCAGGCAAAATCAGACCAAGAAATCAGATAGTCTAAACGGACCTTAAGAGGTTTTAGATATGTGAAACCATGATTTATTCTGTCTTGATCTTCCAAACAGAGTTGGACTCAAACATATTATCAAAATGATATTTTGTTTTTGAAAGCATATTGTTATCAAATTTTGATATATCGTTTTATCGAAATAGTATAGACAGGTTTCTTACTTGTATTTATATTCTTGAATTAGAAAAATACTACACAAATACCAAAAAAGAATGTAATATTGATTGACGTAATGCATGCTACTGTATGAATAACTAATGTGATTGCAAAAACCAAGTATAATATTACACCCATGGAAATAATTTCTTTTCGCAACTTATGTGTAGGATAAATGCACCAATAGTGGAGGTACTTTAGTGCAATGTGTTCCTATGGTGGCTTATAGAGTCTCCCTAAGCCGCTATAGAAGTACATTGTACTAACGTACCTCCACTATTGGTGCATTTACTAAACATAAATTGTTCAAATTAGTATTAAACAACCTACACACTTAGTTTTTTCTACCGATCTCGGCTGTGCAAATCTCTGCAAAAAAAAAGTTTCACTGAGATCTCAGCAACAGTGACGTTTGATTGCTGAGTCGCGGATAATGCTTAGCTGAATCTCAGCAAACAAATGAAATGTTTGCTGAGATCTCAGTGAAACTTTTTTTGCCGAGATTTGCACAGCCAAGCTCGGTAGAAAAAAGGAAGTGTGATATGTGCATCTGATCTGCTGTAATATTCAATAACTTTTTTGCCGTGCCGACTTATAAGTACCAACGCCCAAGTTTGCACAATCGAAAATAACATAAATCAATAAGTACATAAAGGGATTCCAGATGGATAAATAGATAAAATAATAATGTGTATAATTTGTATGCACCTGGAATTTTTTTCGTCCGACCTGGAAAAACCTGGAAAACTCAGGGAATTTGATTCCTTGGATTGAGTAGACACCCTGCATTAGTATTCGCAATATGACGTGAAAAATTCCATTCTTTCGAATGGCGAAGGTTTCAGAAATGCTGTTTTTTTTTTTTGTATTATTCTAACAAACGGATGAGGTTTTGGGTTGAGGCTTTTTGTCCCTTCGACCTTTAGTTTCTGTTGATCTTCAGCCCTTTCGACATTTTGTTCTTTCGACCATTTGTCTTTTAACCTTTTTTCATTGATTCTAAAATCAACTCGAAGAAATTTGTAAAAATGGAAAATGTTAGCCCTAATTTAAAGCTTTTGTGAAAAGAACTCAGGATATCCCATATTTTGGATGATCTTGCTCAGCTTTTTAAATTTCGGAAAAAAATCACAGAAATCTGTGAAATAATCTTAGTGTGTAGAGCAGTTCCACGCCATATGGCGAATCTAAAAAACTCGACTTTCTCCGATTTGCATGAAATTGTGCACAATTAACCACTTCATTCGAGCAGTTAAAATGACGTTTACTACCACTCGAACTTTGAAATAAAACATTATTTTGAGATTTTTTCTTCAATAACCACGAGAAAAGTAGCCAACATTTGAGCGTTTAATAAAAAAAATAGAAATTAGTTGGTCCAGTTTTGTGAAATCGCTGGTAGCAAGTCACGCCAAAACTGCTTGACAAAGTGGCAAATTGTTTGTTATGGCCAATGATTACATTTTTTTCTTTTAAAATTCGGCCATTGTGGATCTTGTAAAATTAAAACTAAAATCATCTTTGAAATTTAATAAAAAATGAAGCATAGAAACGTCACTTCTGCTCGAAATAACTTCAGAGAAAAATTTAAAGAGAAAAATAATGTTTTTTTTTGGAAAAAAAAATTTACTTGAAATTACTCAAAACTTTTTTTTTTGTTATCTAAGAACCATTATTTTTCTCTACAACTTTGTG